AAGTTTAAATTATTTCATCGCAATATTAGGTTTATTCGTATCGCATGCTCTAATATGCTTCAATGTATTCCTACAATAGCACTTACTCACTTCAATTCGTTGGATTGTGATGCGAATAAATCTAATAAGTTTTGCGAGGATTTTTGACAGTGTAAAAAAAAGGATGAAAAGAGAAAGAAGTTTAGGTGGTAACCGTGGCAACGCTAACTTATTTATTTCACGCATGCGCACTCCATTTTGGCCAACATTAACATCAAAGATGCCGACAGAAAGTTGCGCTACTGTATATACTATGATAGCGTACTGCTTTTGCAGTCATCTAACCTAAATGGCATACCCCCACCATGGCTCTACAGAGCTCGATTACCAGGTCCAATCAGAGAAGACCGGGGTAATGCAGTTTGTCACTCTCTCCCTGAATTCTCTAATTCAAACTGGCTGTTTCAGCGACAAAAAAGATCACGTAACGACTTTTATTGCAAAACTATTAGAGCAACAATTTTATGTATGAAAAAAGCCAGAAGCGTTAAATTTGACATTTGAACGATAGATTCGATATATTGTATTTTTCATGTATCATTTACAATATTATTACGATGAATTGAACAGTTATTAGATTCTGATTGCATCATATTCTCTATTTGGATCAGCAATAAAAAAAAGAATAAATCAGTTTATGTATATTGCAGTCAACGGTGATCAACACGATCGAAACAATGTCAGCACTGTCAATAGCGTTTGAACGTTTGACGCTTGTAGTTAAAACTACTGTTCAAATTACAAAATTTCAGCCACTGGAAAACGAGCGACAAACCTGTCGCTCCAATTGCTTATTTTAGCAGCACATGAAAATGTACCTTTAGAAGAAATTATCACAATGGGTTGAAATTCATCTAATTGCGACATTATGGATAAGTTTGTTGTTATTTCCATTTCCGTTAGATAACGTACATCTAAAGCAATATTTTAGTTGACTCATTGACTTAAGTTTACGTTTTAGGCTGCTTTCACGTGCAGCGTAACTTGCGTCAATCAATCAAATTGTATCAAATTGTATCAGCTGTCACGTCCGCAAAAATTTCATTTTTCTTGTTCAATAATAATTTTTTAACAGATTTGCTAACAGGAAGGGGATTTTAGGAACAATCACAGGCAAATATAGAGAAGAGTCAGAGTAATAGTGCACGTTGTCCAGAGCGGCCACGCGTGAAATACTGGCTTCTTTCATTGTCTAACTAATCGCCGCTCTAGCTTTTAAACGCCGCGTGTGAGACATAATCTTAAATCCAAATATAATTTTCTTTATTTTTATTCTTAAATCTAAAAGCATTAATTCTAAGTTTTAATCTAAAAGTAAAAACTAATTCAATTTCTAAATCTAGAATGAATCGTAAGTTTGTACTTTTTTAATTAATTTAGAAGCAAATCTGTTTTCGCACAGAATTAATTATCAACCCACTAATTAATGTACCAATTGCTATTAAATATATATTTAATTGATTAATTTCGAGTGTGTGCTTTGCGGATGTCCCTACCTTCTTGCTAACTCTTAATACTATAACTAATAACTTTTAATAATATAACCACTTAAAACATTAACGAAAAGTGATCACTTGTGTGAGAGAACAGCCTATCCAACGCGGTCGAATCAACAGGTGAATTCATCCAGGAAGCTACAGAGGACTTTCCGACCACTTCTTTCCGCTGGCATTCAGGAACACCAGAGAACATTTAGCCGGGCATCTCAAGATAAGAAAGCTTCTTTCCACATTTTGGTAATTGAAATTCGCTGCCATTGAATTGCACTCAATTTGTGTCCCACTTGCGTTCGTGTGCACCCATCGACGCTCGAATCTTGGCGGTTAGTCCGTGATTACGTAGTGCATGTTGCGTATCTTCGCAATTTTTTCATAGGAAAAGCGGTATCAAATGCCCTGAATATGCTATACTTCCGTGTCGGAAAACGAAAAGAAAAATTATCAAGGAGTCTTATAGCATTACGTTCATTTCGGGTTCCCTAAACGTTTCGAATCCTGTAGTGTATATTCTATATTAACTGTCACTCTGCCGTCGCAAGTTGTCCCAAAGTATTATGGTTCCGGCATACCAGCGCGATGTTAATCACGCGCGACACGTGATATCCAATGACAATATACCTTTAGAATGAGAATATCGGTAAAGCTGTATACTCATTGGATATTGCATGTCGCGCTCGACGAACATCGCGCTGGTGTGCCGGAGGCATTAGAAAAATTCGTCGTTTATCTAAGAAGAGCGGGAGAACAATCGTGGAATGATTCGGAATCCTATATAACTATAATCGGAATATATCTAGGATACGTGAAATCGCGAATTTTGTATCACACCATAGCCTCAGGATAGTTCGAAATCAAGGATTCAGCTAAGTCTCTCTGGCCTAGTTTTCATCGAGGGTTTAATTGGGATCAGGAGATCGATTCTATACCTTGAGGTAAAAATTACAAAAGTGAACGAATTTACTAAAATACTAATAATTTCATTGGTCAACATCTAGTAAATTTGCTCACTTTTGTCATTTTCGCCTCGTTTCAAGATACAGAATTGATCCTCTGAATGTAAGAACTAACCAACTACAGTCGTATTCCTCTATTACAGTCCTCTACGACAGTGCTCGATTGTAGTTCGTTGGTGGAAACTAGGCCTCTGAGACGTAACACAGTTACTACGCATTATTCTAGTTGAGACAATTTGATTGGCTGACGTAAGTTACGCTTACGCAAGTTACGCTCCATGTGAAAGCTGACTTCCGCCGCCATCCCATGAGTGGAAATTTAGTGGAACGGAACAGCGCGATCGATCACAACTCTGCCAGTCATTATGCTGCTTTCTTTTCTGACATTGTGATTGGTCTCGCTATTCGGTTTCGCTGTAAATTTCCGCTCATGGGATGGCGACCTTATGGTGCAGTCCCATGGTGCGAAATTAGCGGAACGTTCGTGATTGGTCGTGGCTTTATTCCGCCGATTCCGCCGTTTTCTGTTGCGCAAATTTAATTATTTTGCGGATTTGCCTGCGTGTGTACATGTGCATGTACTTATAAAAACTAATCTCGTTAAGCTGATTTAAACGAAGAAAAGTATCTTCTAGAAACGCATGATTAATCAACATGCTGAGGCATGTAGGATTCCCACCTGAGTGTTCTCCAGGTGTCATGTCATACTTGTTTAACGTATGATAAATAACAAGAATGAAGTGATACTTGAGTGGCATTCGGATGGTAATCTGAATATAACCCTAAAGGTAATTAATTAAGTCTCCAAATAAATATAAAGATTAATATGGTTAGAACACGAATGTTGTATAAATAGTATATAGAAAAGCGAAAATGTAAATCAAAATCAAAATAGGTACACAAACGAAGTCGGCAATGTCCTTATATATATGTGTGATTTCCGATCCGCAGGAATTCATTTTTCTATGTCTCATTGAGCGGAACTTGCAGATGCACAATCACTGCAAGCCAATGACAAACGCTATTCCAGTGGATCTAATAAAAGTGATCTACGGTAAGGTTCTTATGATTGGTCAACACTAATTGCGCATTCCGCAAATTTCGCTTAAGGGGACATAACACATTTTAGTGGAACGGAATAAAGCCATGACCAGTTGAAGCGGAACGAACGTTCCGCTAATTCCACATTGCGGCAATTCTGCACCATGAGATCGCACTCTCACTGTTGCGGAACTTTGTGTGCGACAGCCTTTTAGGGTATATCTACACAAACTTACATAACCGCATAAATGTATGTAAAGAAAGTTATCCAATTGCATTTTTTTTATTGTCATACTAATAATAATGT